TTTTTTTTCGAAAAAATTCAGCCCAAGCACCACAGAAGAAGGATTATCCGAACCGAATGGTTGTTCCGGTTCATTAAAGATCATATTTGCTGATAACCGAGTACTACAACGATGAAGCACTGGTCTTTTGCCGGCTGCACTATCATTTTATTGAATAGCTCGCACCTCACGTTTTACGATTCTGATTAGAAGGGTGTTGCAAGTTTTTGATCGCTAGATTAAGTTTAGTTTAGTTTAGTTCATCCTATGAAAATGGATGAGGTTGATGTGAAACGACCAGCCCGATTCCTTGTGCTGCTATTTCAGTCAATGTGCCAAGCTGTTTGGTAGATTGGTTCCCACCTTTTCGTCAGAACCCCAAAGAAGGCGATATTGCCGAAACGTCAGTCGGCGGAACCGTTCTCATCCACCTGGTGTGCTGAAGATCAGGCAAATTCTACTGTCCCCTTAGGTTACTACCACCGAGTCTGAAGGCTTCGTGGTTTCAGCGAGGATCGAATTGTCCTATGGCTCTGTTGAATATCTTTCCCCCCTCCCCTTAATTTATACAGGGAATAAAATTAACCACAATTTGAGCAGTTCAAGATTTCGATTTCAGATTCTTTGATTCATTTGCAAATTCCTCTTGAGCGATTTGATCAGTTCAATAATCAAGCTCCTTCTCCTTCTACTGCCGTTTTATTGCATGCGGCCTCATCGAGCGCCAGAACTCTTCCTCACTTGAAAGCATTCATTTTTACATAATTACAATGGTTCATATGGACTGTACAGTTGGACCTGACTTGAAGCAATTTGGCTTTTTCTTGATTAACATTGAAAAATAGGAAAAAGCATTTAGATTGTATTCCCTAAAGATTTATGAAATCAGCTGTCGGTTTCCTCCATTCTGGCATGGAATTTGTTGGAAAGTGCAAAGAAGATTGAGTTGATCACAATGGAGAAGAGGTAGAACAATCGAGCAGACCAGACAGGCAGCTGAAAATTTCTTAATGACAGATTGTGGTTGAAATATTGACAGGTAGTAACATCATAGAAAGCACAACTTCAAACTTTTCAAGGTTCTTATAGACTGCGCCACGCTTGTAACTAGAATCGCCCAATAACCCCAATCACCACGTTCAGGTTTGAGCCCGTACGAGGGGCAGGGATGCTGAGCTCAGGAGCGGGACCGAGGCAGCTAACCAGGCACTCCTTCAACTGATCGACGTTTGCTCTTCCTCTGTCACCCCACTTCTTCAACATTGGGTGCTAGAGCGCAAAGAGGGAGGGTCGTGTGAGCCTATAATGGTGCTCGGAAGCTGTTTTTGACCAGGGGATTATAGTTCCTAGGTAAGTCTGAGGAAGGGAGAAGCATCATAAGCAACATTCACTTGACCATTGTTCTTTTTTTCCAAAGTCTAAGTGGCAGTGTGGCAGGCCCAGGTCGTTTTCCCTGCATTTTCTGCAGCGGAGCTTTCGAGGTGGGAGAGGAAGGTCAGCGTGCTTTCACGCGCCATCGAATGAAATTCATATGAAGCCAGTCATGCCCTTTCTTGATAAAAGCTAGGAACTTGAAGTTCCGGTTTTCAGAGCGGTAAACTCGTCTAGGAAGGGGCAACCACTGTTATGGGGGTGTATGTCGTTTGGCGCGATGGGCGGGGTCGCGCCGCCCATTTGAGGCGGCGCGACTCCGCCTATAGCACCGTTCAACTCGTTCAGATCGCGTAATCTTCCGCTTTCCTCTCCTCTATAGATGATAGAAGCCCAATCCATCATCTATAGAGGAGAGGAGAGAAGAACAGCCGCCCATTCGACGCGGTCAGCGAGCTGGACAACTCGTCCAAGTGATCGGGCAACCCACTGTCAGTCTAACTGATAGAAGCCCGATCGATGACACCACGCTGATACGCAGAATACAAGCAGGCCTACAATTCGGGGTTTAATAGTAGCGGCATCATCATGCGGGCCATGAGTTGGGTGGGCAGTGGGTTGCCCGAGCACCTGGACGAGTTGTCTGTATCGTAAACCGCGCCGAATGGGCCGCGCGATGAGAGGCATCGCGCTAAACGACCGCCTCTCTTATGAAACATTGAGTGTTCATCACGAGCCAATGGGACTTATCGAATAGATTCTCAAAAACCTTCGTGAAATTCATATGTAAGCTCCACGGCAAAGAATACGGGCTGTGCGATGTTCTACTGCTTCCCACATGAATATCCTAAAAGAGTAGGCGTAGCGAAACGATTAACCAACCGTATTCCGTATTGCTGGGCATCCACTCCGTGGCACCATCGTCGACGCTTCCAGAAACACTTCGCAGATCACGGCTATCAGAAATTGCTTGGCCGCGATTCTGAAATTGCACATGTTGTTTAGATTGAAGAGATCGGTCGAAATCTCCAAGAGGTTAAAGCGGACATTACTCGCCATGATCTGTGCACAGAGCTTACTCATACGGGAACCACGACTTGTAGGCTAATATTCTTGCAGGTGGTATTGTTCAAGATATCATTTCTACTAGAAAATGATATGGTAAACCCATTCCTAAAAACTACGTGCCAAGGCTTCGTATCCACGTTCCCACAGTCAAGTGCGGCGCGGTGTTCGGGTGCAATTTCCCACATCCACACAACCCTACTCCACTCCGCGTACACAATTCAAGCTGTCAATCAACTCGTCCACACCCATTTTTCTCCGTGTCCAAATATCATTGACTCTTATCATTAGACAAGTGTGGGATGTGCATTGCTCGTCCCCAGAAACTTAGTGTTAGTCAGCCCTCCTCTACCCCCTCCCGTTCTGAATGTTTAGCGTGACCGTTAGACGTAAATGGACAGTAACCGGCCGTTATTCTGAGTTTCAAGGGCTCCTCCATGACCGAAGGCAAAAGCAAGTAGCAACTATTATAAAACGCAAAATAAACCTAAAGCAAGTCCGCTTACATTATAGTTATTATGTTGATATATTTAGCTGGTACAGGTATATGGCAGAAGTGTTTAATCAGTAAGCCCACTTTGACGACGACGGTTATTGCGTAGATAATCATCAGAATAGCTGAAAACTTTTCTTAATGATCTTTTTTCTTTTGAATGTTTTGCACCAATCGAATTTACCTTGAAGATTTGTTAGAAAAATCGATGTTTCTCCACATTCGCTATCGGCAAAGTGCCAAGACAAATAAAGAAGAATCGATGAGATCAGATGGACGACAGTTGAAACGAAGTGGGAGATGAGCAGCGAATGATGCTTGCGTCTGAAATTTGAAAAAAAACAAATTAAACAGATCATTTGAAAAAATTATCATCACTCACTAAACAATTGTGAACTTATATTTAAAATTATCGAATTCTGTAAGCTAAATTATCACAGAAAACTTACATGGAATCAAATTCTTGAAATTGTAGGATTCACAAAAAAAAAAGGTTTCTTCCTTTAACTGGTTCTCAATGAGACGTAATATAGTTAAGTGTGCCCGCGAGCTAGCGTCGGTTGTGACGCTAAGTAGGCTGGGAAAACCTGGTGCGATCGATAATCATCTTTTACACTGGTTGAGGGGTGGTACCAGAAGTTAGTAAAGCCGCTCAAACTAGGTATGAATGGTCAGCATGGAACAAAAACTTAAAATGAAAAATACTGTTTTTTTCCAGGAACTGTTTCCCAATGAGATCTGATAGTGTTAAATGTGCAGCGAGGTTGCCTCGGTGCGGCGTATGCGGGTCACCCGGGCGTAATCGATAGGTACCTTTTACATGGATGATCCAATACAGGCCTGCCGAATGTGGAAAAGGCAATATAGTATAAACACTAACCCTACGCCAGTCCTTCGTAAACCTCCATCGCTACCATTCTCTTCGAAATGCACTCCTTTTTGAAGTTGATTGGGCTAAATATCAATGTTTACTCATTGTTTACAACTGTAAATGTAAACATGTATTTTGGTCTGTTTGGAGAAAATGAATATCTATTGACTTCTAACAAACGATTAAACAAACGTGAGTCAGAGGCCGTGTTTCTTCGTCTATGCCATCCTCTTCTAAGCTACTCCATGGAGTTAAGGGAAATCGCCCTGCCAGTGCTGATAAATAAGCTGATGAGCCTATTTGGGTGAAGACTCTTACAAGTATTATGGTGTTGGAAAGCTGCCAAATAAATTCAAGAATTTGACCTTATTCGAGAAGATAGTCGTATAGAAAGCAGTAGAGGTGGATGGAGAACCTGTCGGAGATTCCGGTCCGTAACATCGGGGCTCGCAGCCGGTTCTTGAAAGTGCATGTGGATAGCTCAGAAAAATGCTAGTGGAGGATGAGCATTGGCATTCATTCGGTAGTCACTGGTTTTCGGGGCTCTCATGAGAATGGGAAGAAACGAGGAGGCTGTGGATTTCCAATATTAAAAATTTCGGGTCCCCAGTAAGTAAAAATGTAGAGCTTTCGTTTTCTGGTCGATCGAACTATGAAAAATACCGACTTGGATGGAAAATAGTGTCCATATTTGGCAAGTGCCCCGGAAGGAAAGAAGAACTATTCTCCTGTTATGGACCCCCTTTAGAACAGATCGCTATCGTTACACCTCTCGGAGCCCTTTATGATTCGCCATCCTTGTGGGACCGCTATTATTTGCTTGGTTACACCGATAAAATCTGCCTCTCCGCTCCAGATAATCAGTCCGTGCTCTACCCATGGAGAGCAATCAGTCACCAAATCCCAACTATAGCATCTCTCTATCCGGGAAAGGAGGACTCGTAGGGAAAAGGAAGCCTGGTTAGGTTAGGAAGTTCGCTAAAGGCTGGATCTTCCCATAAGATTTGCTTGTGGTAGAATATGGTGGACCGAACGGTAGAGCCAACATGGGATATGGCTTATAGGCGTCGCCTCTCTTGTTACGGCTTGGCAGCTTTTGATTCGAGTAGTGACAGGCCGGCAATTTGCAAGGATTCAGCGTTACCCTGGCATTCCTCATTTGTGGAGGGAGGATATGTAATTCACTTCAAATCAACCTAAATTAATTCAAAGTGAAAGAAATCAAACCGAAAAGGCATTTTATTGTGGCATATGCGATCATTTTCGAAGGGGACGTTTAGTGGTTACATCCAATGACTCCACTTTAGATTTCTTTTTCTAGGAAGCTCTTCGAAGGTTCGGGTTCCAGCGAAGTACGAAAAATTTACCTCCAAATAGCGTCGGATTTTGGTTCAGCAACCTTCCTTGTGAGGTGAAGGAACGTCAACATCATGGTGACCAAAATGCCGAGACTACAGTAAAATAGAAACAGGAGACAGTAACAAATCGAGGTTCTTCCTTTGGGTCAACATATTTGTAAACTTACTAAGCGAAGTATAACTCATAAGGTAGCTCATTACATGGGCAACCAAACATAGCACAAATGTTGAGAAATCAGTTGTAGAAGAATAATATCTGAAGAATGGAGCTCACCTTTGGAGGTTCGGCAAAGCTGCTGCCTCGTCGGATTCCGGTCATTGTCGTAGGATCCTCAAAGCAGACTGCGCTTTAGAATTGAGGCTGTAATCGGTAAAGTAGCCCAGCACTTCCTGGAACTATATATTTGTTGTCCGTGTTTGTGTTTACTGACAGTCTGCGACACTTCCGATAGGTGTCAGCCCCGTTCCTGTCCCCCTCCCTCCTTATCAGCACAGGGCATGTTCAAGTAGGCGTAGATAGTCTGAAGTACATGACAGGATGGCTTCCGTTCCATTATTGCTCAACCTATAGGTTCTCTTGTTCTTATCACTTTACGAAAGCTTTATTTGGGTGCTAACTATTGGAAATGTTTACAATCTTTAACTTCATTCCAAGAACTTTCTCTTCCTGATTGATAAGCTCCTACCGATAAAGACGGCAGTCAAATAGCTCGAACGATTCTCTGCTCAGTTTCTCCAACTCATTGGTTGCGTTCAGACTTCGAAGTCAGTCCGGCACGTTGCGTGCGTGCAACTACGGCCCTAGCCACTTGTTGGCACGTGTTCCAGTGTTGTCAACAAGTGGTTAGGGTCGGCGTGGCGCGCACGCAGCGCGACCGCAACGCGAAGGACGGACTCTGTATAATAAATCGGGCGCTCCAGTAGACGGAAGGCTCGGCCCATCAAGGGGATATCCGATCCTCAGACAACGTCTCATTAGGTATTGTCCCACACATCCTTCTTT